CACACACACACACACACACACACACACACACACACACACACACACACCAACTACCCAAAAAAACACCTCACACTACCCTGGAAGCAAAGGCATGCTTTCAAGCCGGTTCCCAAGTTGCGGGCCCACCGTGAAAGCATGCCTCCCTATCGCTGTGACTCCTGTCAAAGGAGGCCCCTTCACCTCTGCCAAACTCCTACAGTTTTACCAGTGGACCAGGACAGTGCAAGCAGGAATATTCCCAGGGGGAAAGGGAACATCTCAGACACCCTCTCCTCCTCCTCTCAGTGTCTCGTTGGAAACGTTGGCATGGAGCCAGCTGGTCCAGTTAAGGACACGCCACACAGTCAGCTCTTGAAAAGTCTGCCTTCAGAGTTCAGATGTGAAAAAAATCTTCGTTAAGACAAGTTAACGTGGGGTGGTTACATAATTTTGTGTCAACGTGAAGATATAAAAGTGTACAGGTGGAGTCTAGCCTGTGAATCAAGTCATGGCCTAATGGTGCCTCCTTGTGGGCATGGCCTTCTCAAGGAGGATCCTGGGAACCTCCCCTCTCTCTGCCTTCACCTGCCTGTGGACAAGCCACATGGAGAACTGTGCCAGCCCTGTGATTCTTCTACTGGCAGTGGATCCACAAGGCTTTTCACCCACCAGCCTGTGATCTTCCTGTATTCTGCATCATTGCAAGTGGCTGCACGAGACTGAAGAGGGATTTATGGACTAGTTTCAAACTTAGGGACTTGAGTTGGACTGGACTGGGATGTTTTCCTGATATGCAACTCACTTCTTGATATAAGGCTTTTTCTTACACGTATGTATCGCTGGATTTGTTCCTCTAGTCAACCCAGCCTAACACATAACATGAAGTGTAAACCTGAGTATTGTATTTTAAAAAGTGCACAAACTCACTTTCTGTTCAACTGCTTTTGCGCCTAAGGATTAAACAGAGACGGACTCTGATAACTGTGTCATCTTACTGAAGTTCTAGTTTTCCCTGGTAGTGACATCAAATTCCACTATTAGCATTTGTCGGGACAGAAATACAAGCAGTAAGGCCCGCTGCAGGGACCCTGAGACAGTCTTCACTTCGCACCGTGACTACCTACCAGCGGGGAGTGGAAGAGCCGGCTGGCCACCTCCTTGTGACTGGCCACCACGCACAGGTAGCACAGGAGGTTGAGCTTGGCTCGGGAGGCCCCAGTGCTCTTCTCACTGGAGTCTATCTGTGCGCACAGCTGTTGCAAAAAGTCATTCCAGTCTTGGTCTTTCAGAAACACCAATTTATCCACTGCAGGAGCAAGGAAATCATAAAAGCAGATTATCGGTGTGGCAGTTACATCATGTCCTGTCAACTTTCGAAGGGGTGGAGTCTAGCCTGTCAATCAGGTCATAGCCAATGAGGCCTCTGTGTGGGCGTGGCCTTCTCCTGAGGATTCTGGGAACTGCCGTCTTCTTCCCTGGAGGTGGGACACACTCTCTCTCTGCTCACTCCCTGCGAGGCATTCCTGCTGACAAGCCACATGGAGCTATGCTGATGGAGCCAGAACCTTGGAGCTGGAGGAGCCACATGGAGACCCAAGCCGGTGCTGAGATGCTTCCACCACCACTGGATTCACAAGACTTCCCACCCACTGGCCTGTGATCTTCCTGCACTCCGGCATCATTGTATGTGTTGCGTGAGTCTGAAGAGGAATTCACAGGCTGGTATCGGACATATGGGCTAATATCAGACTTATGGACTTGATCTGAACTGGGCCGGGATGTTTTCTTAATAGACAATGACTCTTTGATATAAAGCTCTTTCCTAAACACATAGGAGTGTCTATGAATTTGTTTCTCTAGTCATCCTGGACTAACACAATATGAAAAGAACTGCTGAGAATATTGCCTGAGAACTAAACTAGAGCACATTTCCATACCTAGGATAAGAATAAAAATACACCTAACGGGACGACACCTTGTGGTGAGCAGCCAGACATGGAACCACTACCCGGCCAGGGCTCCTCCAGCCCTCCATGGGAGAAAGAGGAGGAGGCTTTCTACTCCCAAAGAGTCGGTCTCAGACACCCACAGGGACAGTTCTACCCTGCCCTGGAGGGTCACCAGGAGTCGGAATTGACTCGATGGCAGTGAGTTTGGTTTTTCGGTTTTTAACTTGACACTGTCGAAAGCAACGATCCCTCCCAAGATGACACTGGTTCATTGGTCCTTCTACACTCATCTCTCCTCCTCCCTGTGGAGATCTTAAAATAATTCAAGGGCCCACTCTGCTCGAACAATGGGAAGGACATGAGAAGGTCCCCACCCCTTCTACAGGAACCTCCCCACCCACCAGAGGATAAACCAGCTCAGACTTAGTTACATAATGCCAAAAGGTTACTGACTGTTTACAGTTTATCTGAAACTGCCAAGAATGCGAAGAATTCAGCTACTCAGAGGAGAGCAAATTCCATTTGCTAACCAGTCTCATGCTCCTATTCTAGAACCAGGGTCGAAGGGTTTGACAAACCTTTCAGGATCCTACCTGAATATGCTGGCAGATGTAATATCTTGGGATCGAATTTTATTGGTGGTTGTTTCATTATCTGTAGTTAAAAGGGAAAAAAATACACCACATTTTGATTACAGACAAGTTTTAATAGAGGTCTTATCTCCTCTATCAGGTTATAAATTGACAGGGACAAGGATTATTATGTCTTACAAATCTTTGCCTTTTCAATACTACAAGATATCACTGCATATAAGACTGTCCTTAATAAGTATTTACTAAAATGAACTGAAAAAACAGAATACTATAAAAATGTCACTGTCATCAAATAATGATTCAATAATGCCCTTTCAAAATCGAATGTGCAGATACAGGTATTAATACATGTTTTAACATTATCTCAAAAATACTGCGTCGTGGTAAAGAGTCACAGTAGTTCGGGCTTATGCTTAAGCTAATTTACCTCCAATAGTGGGGGG